CCAAATCCCATCACTGCACCACAGGGTGTTCCTCACCCTGGGGAGACCCATCCGGATCCCTCCGAGGGTGCTGGGGAGCCGGCCAAGATGGGCAGCGCTCATGGGATGGGTCCTGGAGGATCTAAGAGTGGTCATAGGCTGTGCGGGCATCTCTCCATCCCTCCTGGGGACACCAAGCCCTTTGTGCTGGCTGCATGCAGGGCAATGGGGAGGGAGGGCAGAAATGGGGCTCCCATCGATCAATTAATTAATTAATGGAGGGTGTTGTAGGTAGAGCTGCGCTAACGAGGGGTGACATCACTGGTGGAGGAGGTGGTTCCCAGTGCCTGTCCCCTGCCTCTCAATGGGGTGACACAGGGACCATGGGCACACGCTGCCCTTGGCCTCCTGCCCTCCCTCCTTGCCCGCACACTGGGGCCCTGCCTTCTGAATTCAGGCAGCACAAGGGAGAAGGGAATGGAGGGGGGGGGGGGCCCTCCACAATGTGAGGCCATTAGCATTGAAAATCCATGCAAAGCAGCTGTTCCTGCTTGGAGCGTGCAGCTGGATCCGGCTGCGGAATGGGAGCCGAGGCACTGAGACAGGAGGGAACCTCATGGTGCGGAGCATCACCCCTGATTCCTTTAGGGCCCCATCCAGAGCGAGCCTGGAGGATCCTTGCCAAGGGGTTGGCCAAGTGGGCTCTGTCTGAGCTGAGGTCCTGTGCGGTGGGTGCGCATCCGTCCCGGGGAGGGATGCAGGATGCTCATCTCCCCCTTTCTCCCCTCGGCCTCCCGCCGCGCTGGGTTTTTTTCCGCTCCATTTGCCAGGGGCTGGAGCTGCTGCCTGATCGTATTTGGTAATAAATTATTAGTTCCAGCGCTCGGGAGCCCGGGAGCTCAAAATAGCTGCTTTTAAAGCGGGCAGCTGGTGCAGGTTGAGTTCAATGGCAATCTGCTCTGAAGGGCACTTCATGCTCATTAGGGGCCTTTCAAGGTGCTGTGGGGGAGAGGATGCTGAAACCAAGGTGCTAGACCTGCATTTCCCAGCAGCTGCCTGCAGTGGGAATGGGGATGCAGGAAGGGCAGCGGTGCCGAGGGGAAGGATCCCGGGGTTTTGGGGTGCTGGGAGCCCATCCCTGCCCCAGTGCGGCTGCTGGCGTGTCTTATTTGTCTCCATCCCCACCAGGCAGCCAGACTGGTTCTGCTCTCGCTGCCGGAGGAGGCACCCGCTGCCAAAAAACCCGCCAGCATCATCAGGAGCAGATGGAGAAGAGATGGCACATTCCCAGCTCCCAGCCCTGCGCCGGGGATGCGGGGGGACAGCGGGTGCTGGGGTACAGGGGGACAGGGACATCCCCCCCACCATCAGCAGACAGAGGCTCGGGGTTGTGTGCTGTTAGGGATGCCAACCCCATGGTACCGCAGGAAGGGGTGCCAGGATGCGGGGTGGCATAAGGAAGGGTGGAAGGGGACACGGTGATGGCAGTGCTGTCCCCTTCTCGTCTTGCTGCCAGGCAGGGACATGCCTGCTCCTGCGGGCAGGCAGCCAGCAAGGCACTGGGAATGCCAGACACTCCCTGCCCCGGCACATGCCTCGGGAAGGGGACAAGGACATGGTGACACATTGCCTGGTTCCCGGTCCCCAGCCCTCCCCATGGCCTCAGAAGGGGATCCAGGCGCCCTGCAGCATCCTGCCTTGGCTTGGTGGTGGATATACAGGCAGCTGCCTGCATGCAGGGGCAAAGGCAGCAAGTGATGCCCGAGGGCAGGAATATGGGTGGGGGGGGTGCAGTCCCCTCTCCCTGCACCTCCATAGGGCCCCATTTCAGGGTTCATCACCCCACCCTGGTGAGGCATCCGCTGGCTGCGGACTTGACCTGTTTTTCCGCATGGATCTGCCTGTCGGGAGAAGCAGCCAGGGAGGGACAAGGAGAGGGAAGAAGCCCCACCTCGCTGTGGGGTGGCACCGCGTCCCCAGCCACCACAGGGACAGCGGCACCCGCAGCGGTGAGTGGCACCTGTGCCGCACCGGTGATGGCATGCCGGAGGGATGGGTGCATGGATGGATGGATGGATGGATGGATGGATGGATGGATGGATGCAGGGACACTGCGTGGTCCCGCATCCCCACTCCCATGCTGAGTGCCTCAGTTTCCCCACTGGCAGCTGTCCCATGGAGCAGCACAGGGACGCCCGGACAGACGGACGCCAGCTCCGTCGGGGCAAGGCGGGTGAGCGGCGCTGCTCGGGCCCCAGCCAGGGCGGAGGCACTGATTTTATCACGGGGCAGGAGCGGCAGAACTGGTTTGGGGCATTGGCAGAGCTCACGTTAGCCAGCCAGGCCCGGGGAGAGGAGAGGAGAGGAGAGGAGAGGAAAGGGGGGGATGAGTTCCCCGCATGGTTTCCAACGAGCTGCTGGCTTGGAGCTTGCCCTGTGCTCGCCTGGCAAATCCCGGTGGGATCATGAGTTAGCTGGGAGGCGTTTGGGGCTGCCGAGATCAGCTGAGCATCACACGGGTGACGCTGTGCCGCCAGCCCTCGTGCCCCGGTGAGCGTGTGCGAGCGTGATAATCCCCGCCGGCTGCTTACAGCAGAGCGGCTCCAGCCTTGGGTTGGGGCTTGGGGGGGTTACAGTGGGGTTAATGGCTGGGGAGAAGGTGGGGGGTATGGGGAAGTGTCCTATGGGGGTGCAGGGCTGTGCCATGGGGGTGCAGGGCAGTGCTGTGGGGATGCAGGGCTGTGCCGTGGGGATGCAGGGCAGTGCCATGAGGATGCAGGGCTGTGCCATGGGGGTGCAGGGCTGTGCCATGGGGGTGCAGGGCTGTGCTGTGGGGATGCAGGGCTGTGTTAAGGGGATGCAAGGCAGTGCTGTGGGGGTGCAGGGCAGTGCCGTGGGGATGCAGGGCTGTGCCATGGGGATGGAGGGCAGTGCCATGGGGATACAGGGCTGTGCCATGGGGATACAGGGCAGTGCCATGGGGATAGAGGGCAGTGCCATGGGGGTGCAGGGCAGTGCCATGGGGGTGCAGGGCAGTGCTAAGGGGATGCAGGGCAGTGCCATGGGGGTACAGGTCTGTGCCATGGGGATGCAGGGCTGTGCTAAGGGGATGCAGGACACTGCCATGGGGATGTGGGGCTGTGTTAATGGGATGCAGAGCAGTGCCATGGGGATGTGGGGCTGTGCCATAAGGATTCAGGGCTGTGTTAAGGGGATACAGAGCAGTGCCGACGGGATGCAGGACAGTGGCATGAGGATGTGGGGCTGTGCCATGGGGATTCAGGGCTGTGTGAAGGAGGTAACAGGGCAGCGCCATGGACATGCGGGGCTGTGCTAAGGGGATGCAGTGCAGTGCTACAGGGATGTGGGGTCTGTGTTAAGGGAATACAGGGCAGTGCCCAGGGGATGCGTGGCAGTGTCAAGGGGATGCAGGGCTGTACCCAAGGGATGCAGGACAGTGCCCTGGGACAGCACACAGGTGCGCAGTGCATGCAGATCCCAATATCCCACTCTCTGTTGGACACCCACTCACTCCTATGGGGGTCCCCATGCCAGTGCAATGCTCAGAGGGTGGAGGGGGGGGGGGGGTGCCCATTCCAAGGCCGTCCGTGTGTGTGCACGTTGGCTTCCCCAGCTGTTCTGGTAATGAATTTACATGAGCTGAGCGTGTCGACAAGGCGGCAGTCAATGGCTGAGAGCACCGGAGTTAATAAATGCTTGTATAATGAGGGCAGAGGGGAGCGCACGCCGCAGCGCCGGCCGCCTCTCCTGGGGCCGGGGGGCAAAGATTAATCAATGCTGAGTGGCACTGCTGCCCCCCCCTATCCCTGCCGCTCTACATGGCCAGCCCTCTGCCATGGGATGCTCCGGGGTCTCCATCATTGCCTCCATTGGGAGCTGGGATGATGGGGGGGCAAGGGGGGGGGGGCTGCCCCATGGCACCCCGTTGTTCTCTGCTCCCCACCTGGGAGCAGAGCTAATTTTAGGCTGGTGTTAATGAAGCTGCTCGTTTGGAAGTCTATTTTAAGGGCCCTGACATCAGCAGTTGCTGTTTTGGGAGATGGAGAGCCCTGAAGCAGCCTGGTTGTGACAGCTGGGGGACACCCCCCTGTTCAGCAGCACCCAAACCCTCACCCTTAGGGACCACTGTGCCCTATAGCACCCCTGTGCTATGGGGTGCACCCATGGGGACTTGGGGGGTGCCATGGTGAGCGTTTGAAGGTGAATTGTTGTTGAGCCTGGCAGTGCTGGGGGGCAATGGTGGGGCTTTGGAGCTGCAATGGTGAGGATTTGAAGGTGCAGTGGTGGGGGCTTGGGAATGAAGAGTGGGGGGGACTGTGGGTGCAATATGAGGGGTTTGGGGATGTGCCGGTGGTGATGCGAAGGTGACACAGTGGGGATTGAAGGTGCAATGGTGGGAGTTCGGGAGAGCAGTGGCGGGGATAGGGGGATGCGATACTGGGGATTTGAGGTAGCAATGTGAGGAGTTGGGGTGCAGTGGTGGGGACCCAGGGATGCAGTATTGGAGATCGGAGGGTGCAGTGGCAGGGATTTGGGGTGCAATGGTGGCAATTAGGGGTGCAGCTGTGATGCTTCGGGTTTTGGCAGCACCGTGCAAGTAAGGAGGCTACCTACCCCTTTCCCCATCACCTCCATCAGGATGCTGACATCCCGATGTCCCCCCAAAGCACCTTCCCCCTTCCCACTGGGGCTCTGCTGAGTCCCCCTGTGCTGTTTCCTGGGACCGTTTGGGATTGGTGGGGCTGTGGGATGCTGATGGCAGCTCCTGTCCCCCACGTCACCTCGTTTTCCATGGGCACGCTTACTTCATTAGGTAAGCTGCTCCCCCATAAGCAGTGCTTGTGCCTACCTGCTCACATCTCACCCACTGCACGGGGTGGTAAACCAGATGGAAGGTCTCGTTTATCCTGCTCATTGTTCCAGCTTCAAGGGGGATTTGGGACCCGCTCTCCCCGCTCCCATCCCTGTATCCCGCTCTAACACGCTGCTCCCATCCACAGGCATGAGCCATGAGCCGAAGTCGCCGTCCCTAGGAATGCTCTCCACCGCCACCCGCACCACCGCCACCGTCAGCCCGCTCACCCCATCGCCTCTCAACGGCTCCATCGTCCCCAATGGCAGCCCTGCAGCCAGCAGCACTTTGTCCGTCCAGGCAGCACCTTCCTCCAGCTTCGCCGCCGCGCTCCGCAAGCTCGCCAAGCAAGCCGAGGAGCCCAGAGGTAGGGGATGAGGATGGGGATGGGGATGCAGGGGATGCTGAGCATCGCTGCTGCCACCCGCGGTGCCGTTTCCCCCCCATTTCCCAAGCTAATGTCTTTCCCTAGCGTTGTGTCTCCAGGGAGCAGTTAAGAAACTCAGTTCAGCCGGAGTAATCCTAATGCTGTATCACTTGTTATGCCCCGGGAGAAAGCCTGGGAGAGCATGGCATGGGGGGGACCTGTCCCTCTCTGCCCCTCCAGCCTTGTTCTTTCCTCCTATGCTTCGCTTCAACGCTGTTTTATCCAGAGGCGCCTCAAACCTGCTCCTTTTCCAGCTGAATTTCCCAGCTAAACAGCCAGTTTGGGCACCCCTAGGAGGTCCCCAGCCCTCGTCACAGTGCGATGGCCTGGTTGATGCCCTCCATCACATACCCACCCTGATGTCAGATGCTGCTGATCCCGAGTTCTGTGCTGCTGCAGGGAATGTGTCCTATGGGAACAGCCAGAGCTGTCCCACATGCACAGGAGGAGGGTGCATGTCCCCAGAGTGCCAGAGTTTCACCAGGAGACTGCTGGCATTAGCAGTTTGCAATGAAATAGTATTTATCCCTGTTGTTACCATTGGTGGGTGCTCCCTGTTGGGTCATTGCCCACCTCCCAAGCACTTTGGGACATGGGGAGGATGCCAACCCTTTGCAAGGTACTTTATGGATGTTCCCTTTTTGCAAACAGGACCCTCCCCACAGCCCCCCCCCCCATCAGAATGAAACATCCCAGCACAGCCATGGCCCAAAGCCTTTGGCATTAGCTGCTCCCGATGGGGATGCCAGCTCCCTGTGATGCCAATGGGACCTTGGTCTTGGTGATGCTTCATCCTGGCTGGGAGCATCCTGGCTGCCTCCTCCAGAGCCCATCTGGTTTCTGTGGGGTGGTCAGATGTGGCTAGGGGATTATTTTGCCTTTCCTTCCCCCCCACGCCACACAGCTCCTGTCCCCTCCTCTCTGCTCAGCCCATCTGAAGGGACATCAGCAGGCTTTGGCATGGATTTCATGGTGCTGAAGGGAAGCAGCTGCGTTCCCTTTGGATTTCCTCATAACGGCTTGCCCATCTGGGTGCCCAAAGTGGGTTTTTAATAGGCATGAGTGTGGTTGAGTGTCGGGAAGGGGGTTTCTTTCCGCACCGTGGCTTTTAGCCCTAGGAAATGCATGGATTTGCCCCCAAATCCTCACCCTGCTTCCCACAATGGGAGATGCTCCGCTGTGGCAGATGCAGCTGATGGGGTGATGCCAAATGGGTCCATCCAGCTTTTCTACTGGGTTTATGGGACATCTGTAGGGATGTTCTGCTCCCACAGAGCATCCCCAGCTGCAGGGGCTCATCCCGACCCATTCCATCCCAGCAAATCCATTGAAGCCGTCGCCTGGCTGGGGGCTCCTGCCTCTCATCCTACCCCAGGCTGTCAGCAGGGTGGGTTTTATTCCCTCCCTCTTTCCTTTCTTCCCCCCCTTCTCCTCCTTCAGGGTCTCAGCTGTTAATTACATTTGCCTGTCAGCCTGGGCTGCTAATCTGCTATCGCGGAGCGGAAAGCGGGAGGTCAGAAAACAAAGGTGACACCATCACACTGTGCCTCTTGTCATCTCCAATCCAGATTAGTTTCATTGACTAACTCCTGGCTGAATACCACCAGTTAATTATAACGATCACAAACCCTCCCGTTTAAAGCCACACAGCGAGAATTAAGGTTCTGAAGTAAGACTTTAGCTTCATTAATTGCCGGGCTCATTGTAATGGTATTGATTGTTAACGCTATCGCGTGGTGAGTAATGGCTTCCCAGCTCAGAGGGGATTAGGCTGCTAATTGTTGTTGGCCTTGCGCTGACAAGATAGACTTCAGTGGGTGTCAAATCCGTATCGGCGGCCTCCTTTGTCACGGGCAGCCTTTCTCTTGCCCTCAGTCTCGCTGCTCTTGAAATGAAAGCGATTCGGAGCGACTCGGGAATAATTAATAGGACAGGACGGATGGCAGCAGGCTGCTCCGCTTGGCCTCGCTGCTCCGAGCATCCTTCCCGACGCATGGGGATGGTGGGTTTTCCTGCGGCATTCCTGGCCCTGCCACATCCAGGCTGCCTCCTGGTGTTGTGCTGAGTGTGGTGAGGAGAGCGTGGGGATTTTGGAGATGGGTTGTTAGCTTATGCAGGGGGGATGGCTTATCATCTGTGGGGTAGAAAGGACCTTAGAGCTCATCCAGGTCCAACCCCCTGCCATAGACAGGGGCACATTCCACTAGAGCAGGTTGCTCCAAACCCCATCCAACCTGGCCAGGGATGGAGCATCCACATCTTCCTTGGGCAAAGACTTGCACACTTGAAGGGCAAGGAGACACCTTATACCCTATGGGGAGCTGGTGTGCATGCTTGCAGGGCATGGAGCCAGGTTGCACACTTAGGGTAGAGAAGGGCCCTCTCAGTGCCAACCCAGTGCTGGAATGGGGAGCATCCTCACCTATCCGCTGGCATCCTCTGGTGACCACAAGCCAACCCTTGGTGACCAGTATCTGGTCCCTTATGGTTTTCCCTAAGGGAAACCTTCCCTTAGCCCATAATCCAGGATGCTGAGAGCAGGGTTTGGAGGGTAGGAGCCCCCAAACCGCCCGTCTGGCTCTTTGGACCAGCCCGTGTGCCTATGCCCTAATTCACATTGAAGTTGTATTCGTGCTCCAGCTCTGCTCTCCGCTTTAATTCCATTTTTGTGTTTTCCCTTGGAAACACGGCCAGCATCCCCGGGGTGGTTTATAATTTAAAATACAGATGTATTATGCAAATAAAGCCAAAGCTTTGCCCAAGGGTTATGGGGAGCGACTCCTTCCTTCATCCCAGCGCCTCCGAGGGCCCTGGCACGGAAGCACACGGCAACTTTCACAGACGGATTAAGGAATCTGTGGGTTCGGCTGGAAAAGATACTGCTGCCCGGGGTTGGCATCGCATCCGTGCTGCTCGTGCCAAGGCGAGCTGCGCAGGCAGGGCTTCCTGCACCCATGTAGGGCTTTACAGACCCTATTAGATGGGAGCTGAGGGTGCCTGTCCCACTGTGTGGGGTGAAGCCTTTTAGCACTGCAGGGACAGTGCTAAATCCCTTAGGATTTAGGGATCCCGTAGGACAGGGATCCTTGGGGATGGGAGGATGGGGGTCCAATTTGGTGGTCTGGAGGGATGCTGACCGCACCGTATGCATCCCTGCGCCTCATCCCTGGTCCCTGCAGAGGGGCATCCCACCAGGAATAGCTTCAGCTTGTCGGGAGAGTGGTTTTAGCTGGTTAAAATCTGCCTTTTCCCCCCATTTACGTTAACTTTTGATTCAATTCCAGGGTCTTCAATAAGCAGCGAGTCATCCCCGGTCTCCTCACCAGCCACCAACCACAGCTCCCCTGCCAGCACACCCAAACGTGGCCCCATGGGCCCCATCATCGTGCCCCCAGGGGGGCACAGCGTGCCCAGCACGCCACCCGTTGTCACCATTGCACCCACAAAGACTGTCAATGGGGTCTGGAGGAGCGAGGGCAGACAGGTATGGATGGATGTGTTTGAGGGGTGCATGATCCCCCCAAAGGATGGAGAGTGCCGGATGATAGTGCTAACTGTGGTCCCCCCCAGGGTGGAGGATGTGGGATGATAGTGTTAACTCTGGTCCCCCCCCCAAATGATGGAGGATATGGGATGATAATGCTAACTGTGGTCCCCCCTAGGGTGGAGGATGTGGGATGATAGTGCTAACTCTGGTCCCCCCAAATGATGGAGGATATGGGATGATAATGCTAACTGTGGTCCCTCCCAGATGATGGAGGATGCGGGATGATAGTGCTAGCTGTGGTCCCCCCCCAAATGATGGAGGATATGGGATGATAATGCTAACTGTGGTCCCTCCCAGATGATGGAGGATGCGGGATGATAGTGCTAGCTGTGGTCCCCCCAAAGGATGGAGGATGCAGGATGATATTGCTAACTGTGGTCCCCCCCCTCAAAGGATGGAGGATGTGGGATGCACAGCACTGATAGTGCCAACTGTGGTCCAAAGTGCCAGGATCCACATTGCCACGGGGCTGCCCCCGCCCCCCCCCCCCCCCCACCTTTTTATCCCTTCTCCATCATCCCCAGGCTGCTATCCAGAGGGAAGGAGCATGAGGAAGAGGGGAGAGGGGGGGAGAGCGGCTAATTAAGAAGCATCGTTAGTGGTTCTCCTCTCCTCCACACGCTACAAGCAGATTCCCGGGGGGATTATGCCACTTGGAAAGACTAATTAAACCACAAAGCAGAGAGGCGATGGGAGGGGATGAGAAACGCCGAGGGCGGGGAGAGGGGGGAAGCAAATGGAATCGTGATCCCTGGATGCTCAGGGGGGGTATCCAGGTGCTCCCCATCGCCATGTCCCCCCCCCCACCTCTCTGTGTCACCCCCTCCACTGTGACCCCGCAGCACGGGGGTTAACCGAGCGTGGGTTATTGTCTGGCAGCGCCTCGCTCGCAGCGTGACGCCCCGAGACAGGGAGGTAATTAGAGCAGAGCCTGGCACGCACAATGAGCCTTAATGCAGGCGGCAGAGGTGGCGGGGACGGGGTGTGGGGGGGGGAGGAATGACAACACCCTTTGTGCAGGCTGTGGTGACCTTGGGACTGTCCCCAACAGCGAGGGATATGAAACAGGGACCGGGACTGGATAGGGAAGGGATGCAGGGTGATAAAAAGGATGCTGCCTTCCTGCTCTTATAGCCGCTAAACAGAGAAGATGCGATGGAAAACGATCGCTTTTAAACCCAGCTTGACTTGTTGGAGGTCACACCCCTAATTGCCAGACCCTGTGGGGTTTCTTGTCACCCTTGCCATGGGGTCCGTCCCCAGCCGATGTGGGTGCTGGAAAGGAGCAAGCCTCATCCCAGTGCTGGGATGGGGGGCTGATGGAAGATGGATGAGGGCCTGCGGGGAGGCTGGGTTGCTCATGGGCTGACCTCTGGTTTATGGCTGTTATCAAAGGCCTGTTGGATTTCCACGGGCTGTGTCTGCATCCTCCATGGGTAATTAATAGGTAACCTATCAGCACTGCTCCAGTTGCAGCACCCTCTTTGCTGGTGCCCCCCCCTGCATAACCCCTGCAGACCCTCACTCTTTCCAGCCCATCTTTGGATGCGCTGGGTGCAGGAGGATGCTCCGATGGATGCATCCTCCTGCATATACTGGTGCTAGCTGGGACCCTGCGGGCACAATGGTACCCACTAAGGGTCTTGGGGTGGGGAGACAGCAGGGACCCCTGCATCCTTTGTGGGCTCCCTGCCATCCCCTAATGCCTGTCTTGTTGTTTGTCTCTTTCCCTTCTAGCAAGAAGCAGGGTCTCGGGGCAGCAGCAGCAGCAGTGGCCGCGAGCGCCTCATCTCAGAGCCCCCCCTCTCTCAGGAGAAAGCGGGGGGCCCCACTGTCCCCTCCCATCTCCTGGGGACACCCTACTCCTTCGGGCTGCCCCCGAGCTCCGTGGTCCAGGACTCCCGCTTCCCTCCTCTCAAGTGAGTCCAGCGGCAATGGATGGGGAAGGGGTTGCTGGGATGCAGGTATCCCCTGCGGGCTCTGGTCCCATTGAGCATCCTGAAGGGGTGACATCGCCATGGGGGACAGGCTGGGATGTGACCATCTCCCTGCTCCCCGCAGCCTGCAGCGGCCGGTCCACCACGTGGTGCCTCCGAGCGCGGTCACCGAGGATTACCTGCGCAGCTTCCGTCCCTACCACACCGCCGAGGACCTCCGCATGTCCTCCCTGCCGCCCCTCGGCCTGGACCCGGCTGCTGCTGCTGCTTACTACCACCCCAGCTACCTGACACATCACCCCTTCCCGCACCCTGCCTTCAGGTGGGCATCAGCCAGCTCCGGGAAGGATGGTTGGGCTGCACTTAAGGGCATCTTGGGGCTCTCCAGACCCATCTGCGAGCACAAGGCAGCCCACATCCAGCTTTATGGGAAGGGAATTGGGGGTTTCTCCCTAACCCTGTGTGATGCATCCCTCTGAGCATCCCTGTCTCCCCAGGATGGACGAGTCGTACTGCCTGTCAGCGCTGCGGTCCCCCTTCTACCCGCTGCCAGCGCCAGGCTCACTGCCACCCCTGCACCCCTCAGCCATGCACCTGCACCTCTCGGGGGTACGGTACCCCCCCGAGCTCTCGCACTCTTCCCTCTCTGCCCTGCAGTCCGAGCGCATCTCCAGCCTCGCCGCAGAGAGGTACGGAGGGGTGATGGCTGGGACAGGGGATGGATAAGGCCCTCCAAGGGATGCTGAGATCCATCCGGAGGGTGTTTGGGGTTGGGATTTTCCTATTGGGCTTCTCATTGCAGGCTGCAAATGGATGAGGAGCTGCGGCAGAGGGAGCGTGAGCGCGAGCGGGAGCGGGAGAAGGAGCGGGAGCGAGAAGCCGACCGAGAGCGGGAGAAGGAGCGCGAACGGGAGCGGGAACGCGAGAAGGAGCTGGAGCGGGAGCGGGAGAAGGAGCGCGAACGGGAGCTGGAGAGGCAGCGGGAGCGCGCCCGGGAGAAGGAGCTGAGCATGGTGAAAGCCATGGAAGGGCCGTTCCTCCCCGTGGCCGAGCTGCACGGGCTGCGGGGACACCCAGCCGAGGAGCGGGGCAAGCCGGCAGAGCCACTGGTACCCATCAGACCAGGTACGGCATCCCTGTGGGTGACACTGGGGGGGTTGCCACCATCGGCACAGCTCGCCACGGTCCCTTTCCCCCTCCAGATGGCAAAGCCAAGGGGGTTGGTGGCCCCGGGAGGTGGCTGGGGATGGAGCCGGGCTGCCAGCTCGTTGTGCCAACAGCCCAGCTGCCGCGGCTCTCGGGGAGGCGGCGCGGTGCGGGTGCCATCTGACTCGGTCCGGTGTGGATGTGAGCCCAGTGCTGGGCATGCCCGGCAGCAGGGATGGCAGGGAGGGAGTGCTGGGCTTTGGCTGGTGGCTGCCCCACAGCTCTGCCCATGTTGGTGCTTGGGGGATGCTCTGCACACCCCATAACACCCTGATAACCAACAGTGTGGTCCCCCCTTTCCATGCCCTGACTCTCCGGTACCCCCTTTCCAACACAGAGAAACTGAAGGACTCGGTGCTGCCAACACCAAAGCCTATCCAGCACCCGCTGCACCCACCACCTGCCTCACACCACCCCGTGCCCAGCCTCATCCCCAACCACAACGTGTTCCCGCTGCCGGGAAGCAGCGCGGCCACGGCGCTGCTCATCCACCGCACCAACGAGGAGGAGAAGTGGCTGGCACGGCAGCGCCGGCTGCGCCAGGAGAAGGAAGACCGGCAATCCCAAGTCTCAGAGTTCCGGCAACAAGTGCTGGAGCAACACCTCGACATGGGGCGTGCGCCGAGCCAGCCTGAGCCCGAGCATCGCCCCGAGCATCCCAGGTAGGGATGCTGCATCAGGGATGGAGTTCCTCCCCCCAAATCATAGCTGTTTTCCCACCTCACAGCCATCCCTCTGTAAAACCTATACATCTACAAACATATCTATATAACACCTATAGGGTTTTTTGCTGTTACCCCATTGCTGTGCCTGCCCCATTAGCCAGATCTCCCCCCCCCCATTAGGTACCCAGCATCCATCGCCATGCCCCCCGCACATCCCCGCTGCGCTCGGCCGGTGCCAGCAGGTCCCCGCCGCACGGTGCCAGCCAGGCCGGCTGTGCTGGCAGCGCCGGGCATCACCGGTGCCCGACATCTGCGCGGCGGCAGGCAGCGAGCCCGGGAGGTGGCCACGGGCCAGCAGCAAGTGGCCAGGAGCTGCCCAGGCACCGGCACCGCTAATTGCAGCTCCCCACTGTGTGGTGGACCCAGGCAATGGGATGCCCTGTTTTTGGAGGGGGGGACGACACACGATGACATGTCCCAAAGCCATGTGGTGTTGTTGGGGGGCAGAGCGATGTGGCTGCACCCCCTGGTTGGCTTGCTGGGCTGTTAAGCAGTGCAGGCGCATCCAGCCAGTTCCTTTTGTTATTTTTGGGTATCCAGGGGATTAGCGCGGCTCATGGAGGATAATAAGGAGCGGATCATGGGGCGGCACAAAGGCGAGTGCCTGTCACAGCATCCTTTCCCCATACACTCCTTCCATCCCAGATGGGAGAGGAGAGAGCAAGGTCACCCCGAAACACCTGCAGATGGGGTTACTGCATCCTTATCCTCATCCCCATCCTCATGAGGACGTCCCCACCCCCATTCCCATCCTCATTCTCATCCTCGTCCTTATCCCCCTTGTCATTCTCATCCCCATCCCCACATCCCTATCCCCATCCCCATCCCCATCCTGGGGCTGATGAGGACCACTCCCAGCAGGGCAGGCAGTGCTTCCCACCTGCAGTGACAAGGTGCCGGATGGCAGCACGGAGCTGATCCCGCTGCTCCCTGCACAGAGGTCCGGGGCGCTGGAGCGGAAAAGCGTTAAATGCACAGCTTGGGCACATGAAATATTTATCCTGCTAACGGGCTGGCTCCATCCTGGCTGTCGGAGCAGGGCTGCACCAGGGCACTGCCATTGCACAGCAGGGCTCTGCCAGCCCCAATGGCTCTCTTGTCTTCCCCATGGTGCGCAGCCCTGCAGTCCCTTGCTCAGCATCCCAGGGATGCAGCCGCATCCCTGCCCAATGCACACAGACTTAACTCTGTCCCCCATCCTTCTGGGAGCTGGCACAGGAGGGGGATGTGTGTGGCAGCCCCAGTGCACAAACCTCTCTTGGATGGCCCTAACTTATGTTTCCCCCCCCACAAAAGCAGCTCAGTGTTGGTGTGTGCTGGCTCTCCAGCACCACTACCAGCCCATCACCTCTCTCATCCTCTCCTCTCCCCACAGGTCAGCATCCAGCCGCCATGAGCCAAGCAGCCGGGAGCCAGGGCAGCACTTCGGTGGGCCCCCACCACTCATCTCTCCCAAGCCCCAGCACCACCCGGTCACCACATCCCTCTGGAATCCCGTCTCACTGATGGAGAGTCCCCCTGATCCACCCCGGCGGCTCCCGGAGCCTCATACCCTCCATGGCCACCCGGCCCCCTTCGAGCCCAGCCGTCAGGGCCTCCCACTGGTGAAGGTGGAGAGGGTCTTCTGCCCGGATAAGCTGGAGGAGGCGACGAGGAAGAGGGATGCTCTGGAGAAATACCCTCCAGGACGGGAGCCCGTCGCTGCGGAGCACGGGAGCTTCACCCATGCCCCTTTCCTAGCCGAGCTGGAGAAGTCCACACAGAGCATCCTGAGCCAGCAAAGACCCCCGGCCGCCCCCTTCACCGATGCCACCAAGCCCAGCTCACCCTACAGAGCCCCCCAGCCCCGCGCCCAGGACCCCATGTACATCTATGACGAGTTCGTGCAGCAGCACCGTAGGCTGGTCAGCAAACTGGACCTGGAGGAGCGCCGGCGGCGGGAGGCCAGGGAGAAAGGTGAGGTGCCGGGTTGGAATTGTGCTGGGGATCCCCCCCTACACCAGCACTGGGACCTGGTGGTGGTGATGGGGCAGCCGGTGGGTCTCCCGGGAATGCCGTCATCCCGCAATGTGAATGCTCCGGCAAGCTGGGCAGCGCGGTAAATCCTTTGCTCTAGACATGCCCAATTAATAAATGATGAACTGAGGCTAATAAGCAGCCTTTAAATATTAATGGGAATGTGTGAGCGGGGATAAGAACAGCGGTGAGGAAGAGATGGAAGGCTTGGGGAGGCTCAGCCGCAGCATCCCCCCGGCTGTGCCCCATTAACCTGCCTGTTGAGCGCCCCAACAGCCTTCCCAAAGCAATGCTGAGCGGGGATACAGGGGTGGGCGATGCCCTCCAGGGTACCACAGGTGATGGAGGGGGGACAGGGTTCTGTTGGGTTACACCCCCTGCCCTGTGGGACCCACATTGGAACCCATTCTGTGTACCCAGCATCCTGTACTGCTGCAGCACCAGTGGGGTCCCAATGTGTTCCCATGGTCCCAAGCAGATTCCCCGGGGTCCCATCAGGATGCCTTGGTCTCTCCAGTCTCACACCAGCCTCTCCCCATCCTCAGGTTACTACTATGATCTGGATGACTCCTGTGATGACAGTGACGAGGAGGAGGTGCGGGCCCATCTCCGCTGCGTGGCCGAGCAGCCCCCATTGAAGCTGGACACGTCCTCCGAGGTACTGATGGCACTCGCTGTACCCTGTCCCCGCTGTCCCCCATGGGGGCAGCCCCTCCTCGGGCATCAGTGACCAGGGCTATGGTGCTGCCAGCATCCCCAGCCTGCTGAGGCAGCAGGGGGTTATGGATGGATGAGGATGGGGATAGGGATGGGAGTGGGGATGGAAGTGGTGGTGGGGATGGGGACAGGGATGAAGGTGGAGGTGAAGATCGGGATGAGGATGGGAAAAGAGACAGGAATGGAGATGGGAAGAAGGGTGGGATGGAGGTGGGGATGGGGACTGGAATGGAGACGCGGATGAGGATGGAGATGAGGATGGCAACGGGGAAAGGGATGAGGATGGAGACAGGAATGTATGTGGGGACAAGGATGGGGATGAAGATGAGGATGGAGATGAGGATGATGGTGGAGTTGGGAATGCACATGTGGATGGGGACAGGGATGAGGATGGGGAAGAGGGAAGAAATGGAGGTGTGGATGGGGACAGGAATGGGGATGGGAATGAGGATGGAGATGAGGATGGCAATTGGGACACAGATGAGAATGGGAAAGGGGACAGGAATGAGGATGGGTACAGAAATGGAGGCGGGGATAAGGATGAGGATGGGAATGGAGACAGGAATGGAGATGGGAAAGGGGACAGGAATGGGGATGGGTACAGGAATGGAGATGGGGATAAGGATAGGGATGGAGATGAGAATGGGAATGGAGACAGTAATGGAGATAGGGATGGGGACTGGAATGAGGATGGGGAAGGGGAAAGGAATGGGACAACGATAAGGATGGGGATGAGGATGGGGACGGTAACAGGGATGAGGATGGTGATGAAGATGAGGATGGGCACAGGGATGGAGGCGGGGATGAGGCTGGGTACCGCTCCCGTGGTGACCCTGCTCCTCTCTCCCCCTTGGCGCCCCAGAAGCTGGAGTTCCTGCAGCTCTTCGGGCTGACCACGCAGCAGCAGAAGGAGGAATTGCTGAGCCAGAAGCGGCGCAAACGCCGGCGGATGCTGCGGGAGAGGAGCCCCTCTCCTCCCACGGTGCAGAACAAGCGCCGCACGCCCTCCCCGCGCCTCCCGCTCTCCACCCGGTACAGCCCCGACGAGATGAACAACAGCCCCAACTTCGAGGAGAAGAAACGCTTCCTCACCATCTTCAACCTCACGCACATCAGTGCCGAGAAGAGGAAAGGTAACAGCCATGCCCCGCGCATGCTGGGGACCAACACCGCCTGCGGGGTCCCCATTCCCTGGTTTGGGGGGTGCTGCGGAGGGGTCCTACCTGGGGCTTTGAGCTTGCTCTGCTGAGCAGAGGCTACACTAAACCTCAGCTTCCCATGCCGCAGACAAAGAGAAGCTGGTGGAGATGCTCCAGGCCATGAAGCAGAAGACCACGCCGGCTGCTGTGGTGGTGAAGAGCTCCCCGCGGGACAGCCCCAGCGGCCCCGCCACTGGTGAGCATCCTTGGTGTTATTCCCTGGGTCTGGGCTGGATGGGAGCATCCCTGTGGGCACTGGGATTGTTGAGGGACACGGAGCCCTGACTGCTCCTTCTCTACCCAAAGAGCCACCGGTGCCGCCGCTCCTGCTGGATCCGGATAAACCAGTGGGCATTGCCGTGTCCGTGCCGGAGGGGCAGAAGACAGCAGAGCCGGGCAGGTTAGACCAGCTGAGACCACAGGAGCTACCAAGGGCTAAGGAGACGGGTGCCGCGCCGGCAGAGAAGCCGCGGCTGAGTGATGCGCACCCCGGGAAGAAGGGACTGAGCATCCTCAGCTACGTCAGGGGCCCGCTCCCCAAGGACATCCCGGTGCCGTTGTCCCACAGCATGAATGGCAAGAGCAAGCCCTGGGAGCCATTCATTGCTGAGGAGTTTGCCCATCAGTTCCATGAATCCGTGCTGCAGTCCACACAGAAGGCGTTGCAGAAGCACAAAGGTAAGGGCAGGGATGCGGGGAGCTGGTTGGGTACCACTGGGGTGACATGCATGTGGGGTGGGAGATCTGCTTTGTCCTCGCCACTGGGGTTCGGCACCACTGAGGGCACAAAATCCACTGGGAACCTCATTGATGTAGCATCCGTGCAGCCCATTGATGAAGCTAAAGATAAGGCAATGGGATCCCAGCGGGACAGTGAAGGGGGCCTGCAGGAAAGCTGGAGGGGGACTTTATACTAGGGACAGGGCAAGGGGAATGGCTTGAACCTGCCCGAGGGGAGACTGAGATGAGCTCTTAGGCAGAAGCCCTTCACTATGAGGGTGCTGGGGTGCTGGCACAGGGTGCCCAGAGGAGCTGTGGCTGCCCCATCCCTGGCAGTGCTCAAGGCCAGGCTGGACACAGGGGCTTGGAGCAAGCTGCTCCAATGGAAGGTGTCCCTGCCCGTGGCTGGGGTTGGAACTGGATGAGCTTTAAGGTCCCTTCCAACTCAGACAAGTCGCTGGTTCTGTAATACAGCTTCATTCCCCAAACTCATGCATTTCAGTGAGTGAGGAAAACAAAGTTATTCCAGTGTGCAGGGGGTGATGAAAACCCATGGGAGATGCTGCAACCCCCCCCAACCCCCCCCCCCCCCCCAAAAGGGCCTGGGAGAAAGAAAATAAATACCTTGAGGGGAGTATCTTTCTCAGTGTAGGGCAGCTCTGGGATGGGGCACACTCACAGGGAGCAGGTTGGGAATACCGGGAATGGGTTGGAGCTGACGCTTGGTACCCACAGGGGGGACAGCGGAGCAGAACCACAAGCTCGATGCCTCCATCCACTACAACATCCCTGAGCTGCAGGCCTCCAGCCGCCTGCCCGCCCCCTCGCACAATGGCACAGCAGAGGGGCTGCTGCCCCACCGGGCATTGCCCCCGCTGCCCCATGACTCAGCATCCGAGGAAGAGGAGGATGAGGAGGAGGAGGAACAGGAAGAAGAGGAGGAAGAGTACCCCAGGCCCAAGTGGCAAGGGATCGAGGCAATTTTTGAAGCTTACCAGGAACATATAGAAGGTAGGGGTTGGGAATAGGGGGTAAATCCCACTTTGTGCCTCAGTTTCCCCTTGGGTGAAATCACCCCATGCCCATAGCAGGCAGCTCCAGCTCCTGCTGGGATAAGCTGGGAAGCACTGGTGGCTCCCAGCAGTGCAGGAGCAGCACGAAAACATGAGGCACTATTGAAAATCGATGTATATGTGAAAAATTCATGTATTCACCCTGCCCAGTGTCCTCCCAGCAGGACCTGGAGGCTCCCTGCGGGCAGTGTGAGGACCAGGGATGTTCTGGGATGCTGGAGGCATCCTCCGCGGTACCCTGGTCCTGCGCTGTGCATGAAGCCAGAGGAATCAGCGCTCACCCCTTGTCCCTTGGGCTTTGCAGAACAAAACCTGGAGCGCCAAGTGCTGCAGACCCAGTGCCGGCGGCTGGAGGCCCAGCACTACAGCCTGAGCCTGACGGCAGAGCAGCTTTCGCACAGCATGGCGGTAAGTGGAGCTCCCATAGCACAACGGTACCCTCCAGTGCCACCATTCTGTGTCCCCCATAGAGACACCCAGCATCCCCATGCAGGCACCCTGAGTCCACATACTGGCACCCTACATCCTCCTGCAGGCACCCAGCATCCCCATACAGGCACCCTGCATCCTCATACAGGCACCCAGCATCCCCATACAGGCACCCTGCATCCCCATACAGGCACCCTGCATCCTCATACAGGCACCCAGCATCCCCATACAGGCACCCTGCGTCCTCATACAGGCACCCTGTGTCCACATACAGGCACCCAGCATCCCCATACAGGCACCCAGCATCCCCATACAGGCACCCTGCATCCCCATAGAGACACTCTCCATCCCCATGCAGGCACCCAGCATCCCCATACAGGCATGCTGCATCTTCATACAGGCACCCAGCATTCCCATGCAGGCACCCAGCGTCCACATACAGGCACGCTTCATCTTCATACAGGCACCCAGCATCCCCATGCAGGCACCCAGCATCCACATACAGGCACCCAGCATCCCCATACAGGCACCCTGCATCCCCATAGAGGTACTCTCCATCCCCATACAGGCACCCTGCATCCCCATAGAGGCACCCTGCATCCTCATAGAGGCACTCTCCATCCCCATACAGGCACCCAGCACCCCCATGCAGGCACCCTGCATCCCCATACAGGCACCCTGCATCCCCATACAGGCACCCTGCATCCCCATACAGGCACCCTGCATCCCCATAGAGGCACTCTCCATCCCCATGCAGGCATCAAGCATCCCCATACAGGCACCCTCCATCCCCATGCAGGCATCAGACATCCCCATACAGGCACCCTCCATCCCCATGCAGGCATCAAGCACCCCCATACAGGCACCCTCCATCCACATCCCCATGCAGGCACCCAGCATCCCCATGCAGGCACCCAGCATTCTCATACAGGCACCCAGCATCCCCCATGGGGCAGCCAGGCGAGCCCAGCACCCCATGAATAATCCCATTCCCGTGCCTTTCTGCCCTGACTCCTTCTTCTCCTTAATTCCTGCAGGAATTAAGGACCCAGAAGCAGAAGATGGTCTCGGAGCGCGAGCGCCTGCAAGCCGAGCTGGATCACCTGCGGAAGTGCCTTGCCTTGCCTGCAATGCAGTGGTCTAGGGGTTATTTCAAGGGGTATCCCAGGTGACGCTCCTTTGGGGATAAACCGAACATATAGTCTAGAAATAATAATCTATTTTATTACCTTGAATATTTAATATTTTTCACTGGGAGGTTTGAAGCTAAAAAAAAAAAAAAGAAAAAAATTAAAAAAAACTTAAAAACAAAAAAAAAAAGAACAGTAATAAAAAAAAAAGAACTAAAATGGAGAATGTGCCATGCATGAAGCAAAGGAGCACGGGGAGCCCACCCGATGCAGAGCAGATCCCATCCCATCCCTTGCCCTCTGCAAGAACCGGGCTCTCCTCTTGGGGGCCAGGGCACTGCAGCCCCCCCCCCCCACCTTTATTTTTCCACCCACCCCACACTTTATAGCGCTCATTTTTTGTTGTTTCCTTTTTCTATATGACAATTCCAAGACTCCACCGACAACACTAAAGCCGGAGGAGCCCCGTGGGGCCGGGTGCGGAATGGCCCCCCCCATTCCCCAGAGCCCCCCCCTTTTCCTGGGGCGTCCCATTGGAAATGCACTTGGCTATAAAACAATAAAGTCAATAAACTGGTTGAAGGTACCTTTTTGTTCCTGTTTGGCGGGGATTGGGGCACCGAGGTGGGGTTAAACCTTGTCCGAGCCCTCGCCCCCCCCCCCCCCCGAGTTTAGAAGCCGAGGAAGAAGGTGCTTCAGCCTCGTACTGTGTATATATATTAAAGAAAAGTTTTGTATGTTTTTATTACTTTAATTATTGTTATAAAAAGCTTGCCTTTTTTTTTTTAAATGTTTTTGCCTTTTTTTTTTCCTTTTTGCTTTTTTTTCCTTGCCCCTTTTTATTATCTTTCTATTTTGGCAAAAGGATTAAACCGCTTTTAGTGTTTGTACTGCTGCTGGTCAGGACAGAAAAGATGCTGAAGTGTTTTAAAAGCATTTAAAAAGCAGGCAAAACAAATCACCTTTTCCAGTGGGAGCAGGTTCTGTCCCTCTGGAATCTGAGCTGAGCCCTTCCAATGCCTTCTCCCACCTGATTTTGGGGATATTTTTACCTTTTTTTGTTTAGCTACTTTGTCTTTTTACCCGTTTTCTTTGTTTCCTGGGTCTGTTTCTGGTCATAGCTCCATTGTGGGTATCACAGCTCCGGGTGCAGGCTCCATTTATCAAACCAATAACACAAATCAATTGCGCCAAGAGGATTGTTGGGGATAGGTGATACTGGGGTGTCTTTATCCCCCCCAGAACACCAAGACAATCAGTAGGCAGTTTGGCCATGGGGAGATGGGGTTTGCCCATAGGGGCTTATGGCTTGCCATGGTGTTGGTGGCACCACCAACCTCCTCAGGCTGGGGCAGCAGGTTCAGCCTTGTCACCGTTTGCAGCCACTTGCTCATCATCGCATGCCCCAGCTCCCCAGGGAGGCTCTTTTTGTAAGATATAATAATAGTTATTTATTATTTTTCTCTTAATTCACCACGAGACAAGCTCACGTCTATGGGAAAAGGTGACCTCTGCTTTCTGCTTTAAATTCCCTTGTTGCACTCGCAAAGAAAGCATTAAAACACCCCCCCGCTTTTATTCCCCTCTCCCTGCTCCCTGGCCTGCCATTGGCTTCACCAAATAAAAGAAAGCTGTGCGAGATTAAAAAGCAAAAAGCCCTTGTGACAGAAATTAGTTTAATCTTTCTTAAACCCCCCCGATTGCGTCGCCAGCCTCTGGCCTCGCTGCTGCCAACTCCGGGCTTCACAATGAATTTTAACACAGCAAAATAATGCCGCTGCTCGACTCGCTTCTTCCCTTTCCCCTGCGCTGTGATGGGGAGGAAGCCAGGGATGGGGAATCATCAGCGATTTATCCCTCTCCTCCACTGCGCTGCGGTGGAGGAGCCTGGCTGGGCTGTAGCATCACTTCATAGCAGCTCCTGTATTCGTAGCAGCTCCCATACTGAGGCTTTTCCCCCCCATTTACCAGCCCCAAAAACCACGTTTTTTTGGAGCAGTTCCTCAGTATTACTCCCCCAGGGCCATGGTGAGCGGTCGTGTTTGTACCTACCCTATGCAGAATTGATCTCAAGCAGATGTGCCAGAGCCCAGGAGGGCTGCGAGGAGGGAAAGGCAAGGCAGAGCCCGCTGGGGGCAGTTTAGATGCTGTGAAAGAAAACAAAAACCCAAAAAAGGAGGAAAAAAAAAAAAAAAAAAAAAGAAACAACCCCTAAACATGTTTCTAAGTGTACTTGTTTGACTTAATTGTAATGTAATATATTATTTGTTGAATGTAGTAATTAGGTATTTATGAATATATTGCTGTAATTTCTGAAAACATCCAAAAGAAACAAAGAAAATAAACTCTTCCACAACAACGGCAAAAGGATTCTTTCTCCCTCCCTCGCATACACACTATGGGGAAGCTCTGAGCATCCTCACCTTGTCACCATAGCCCTTTGCTGGCAGCCCTGGCTGCAGGCAGGGCACAGATGGCAGGCAGGAGCTGCCCAGATGCTCGGGGAAGGGCAGCGCTCGCCACCCTTTGGGTTGGAGCCGGCATTTCCCCTTCGTCCGGAATAATTACATCTGCCATCAACACAGCCCGACGCCAGGGAGGATCCTGCCCTTGCCTGTCGGTCTGCCGCAGGGGGAATGGGGCTGGAGCCAAAGGAGCAGAGACGTGGGTTTTTCCATGGTTTAACCCATGGATGCTCTGTGTGCAGAATGATGCCATTCACGCGGGTGAAATCACTGGTTTTATTCCTTTTTTCACACACACACACACACGGTTTCAGGGTAAAACAACAAGTCAGACGTGATGTTACAGCCTGGTATAGAGAGGGGAAAACCCTTTCCTTTTGTCCTCCTCCAAAGAGCAGCTGGATCTGCTTCCCAGCCCATCTCCCCAGCAGACACCTCTCATTGCCCGCACATCAGTTCCCCTTTCCAAGGCTCTAAGATCCATGGCAAAGCAACGCCTGGAAATTTACTGCTTTCAAGCCAGTGTGTGGCCTGTGCTGCCCTCAGAAGTTCCCTCTATGAAGTACACCCACTCTTGAGGGCGCAGAGATCCGCCCGGCCCCATTAGGCAGCAGCAGGGTAGCGCTGGCAAGCCACCACCTGCATTAAAGCAGATCTCTTCACCCCAAGAGGCCCACCTCTGAAGCGAGGAGCTCCCGTGCAGGGATGCTCCCGTTCCACTGGCAGCTCTGGAACCATTCCCAGCCAGCTGGAAGGCTGCCTGCAAAGAGAGGGTTTAGGCTGCTGAGGAGGTGCTCTATGGAGATGGGTGGCTTCGGATGTGTATAAGGAGATGGAGGCTTGGCCAGATGAAGGAGCAAGATGTGGAGCCTGCTCCTTTCCTCTGCCCTCTCCTGTAGGGTTTTGGGGCTGGCCTGGCTGGTACCTCAGAAATCCTGGGAATGGGCAGCCTCGCCAGGCTGAAGGTTAGTCCGGAGCTTGTACATGCGATCTAAGGCTTGTGTGAGGAAAGTACCGGTTGTGTTGATCTCCATCAAGGTTAAGTTGTCCAGCTACAAGAGAAGAATAGCGGTATCTGTGGCAACAAGGGAGGACGAGGAACTCGCAAAGCGGCTCCAAGCCCATGCTTTGCCTTTGGTTATTTGGGTTATTCCCAGCTGCCACCCCCCAACCCATCAAGCACAGGAGCGCCGTTTCCATACGGCACCGCGAGCTGCAACCAGCCCATAAAGCGAGGTTTCAGCATATGGCTTGAGCTCCCAACTGCCGTACCCACAGCCCAGGGAAAAGGAAAAACATGCCCCAACCAGCGTTTCCAGGAGCAGCTCTCATCAGTCACAAGCCCACACAATCGCACGGCATCTGGAACGCTCCCAAGCACCGGCGCTTGGCAAAGCCTTCGCCGCGCGTCCCCGCCGCACCTTGGCATGAACCTCCTGCTGCCTGACGAAGCTGTCTGCAGACAGCCGCAGCTTGGCTATCCGGGTGTCCCAGGTATCCTTCACCAGCGTGCGGATCTCGTCGGCCTTGGGGATGTTGTCTGAGGCACTAAAGGAAGGGAGGGAAAGCATCAGAACAGGCGAGGGACTCGTATGTTATGTCACCGGTATAAGAAATGTTGGCAGCTCTTCAGGCATAAGCAGAACAGTTTGCTATTGGGGGGGGGGACGACACACCACCATGCAAGTCAACACTCAAATCCAGCCTGGTGCTTCTGCTGCTGGGATTTCTGGGATGGTTTATTTACCCGGGGATGCTCAGCTCTAACGCAGCATCTGGTTCTCGCTAGAATCCTTCTGCTCTTTAATTGCCCAGCTGGTACGAGGTGCAAGGAGGGCCAATAACCCGGCCAAAGTCACCAGCAGCCAGGGAATTGGAAGGACTCGGCTGTGATTAGAGCCCCGGCTCTGTGCTCTCGTGGCTCTATCAGAAAGTATTAACTTGAAAGGGCTCTACGAGCTGTGCCACATCCTCCCACCGAGGCAATTCAGCGCCGCCATAAGGACCTTGAGAGATCAGCTCAATTCGCACGGGCAGAGCTGTCAGGGTTATTGTAGCGTGAGTGAAGGAGCTGCGTGCCAAGAGTGTCATCTCCAGAGGAAAAGCCAGTGCTTAAATGACCACCCTGCCATAATCGAGGGCTTAAAGTCAGAAGAGCCCGCGCTGAGCGAATACGAGCCAGCACATTTCACAAGTGAAATGCCTCAGCAGGCAGGAGTGCAGGCTCTGAATAGCCCTCGGTCTCCTGCTCCTGAGGCTGAGGCGAAGAGGAGCTTTCCTCCTGCAGCAGAGCCAAGCAAGAAGCCTGTGGGCTTTAGGCTGCCGAACAGATTGCAGCCACGGAACGTGTTGCTGATCCTCAAGGCCTCTGCGCTCAGCTGCCGCTCAATAGCGCGGCACAGCCCCAATTATCAGGCCAGGGAACAAGGAAATCCATGAGGCGCAAAGTTACCACGGGAGAGAACTGCTGCAGCGAGATCTTGGCACACCATGGAATGAAACCCCATTAACTCTCACTTCCCCACCGCCCTCCGGTGCTGCTGCCAACCCAAGCCTGTGCCGAGCGTGTGTTCGGGTGGAAACAAGACGTTTCCCACTCACTAGTTCAACAGCAGCTTTGTGAGCTCCATGTAGTAGGGGCTGGGCATCCGAGTGAAGGTGTCCTGCTTGCGCTCCTGGTCCCGGATTTCCTCCAGTTTCCCTAACAACACAAGCAGGAACAGTCAGGCACTGACACAGCTTCAATGCTCGTTTTTACCCCCATCCAGAAAACCCATGTGCTGTTTCTGCAGGACTCTGAGGGCAGGAAAAGGCTTCTGGAATGAAGGACACAGGGATGCTGACACGGATAGCACACACCATGCTGAAGGCTGGATCTACCTCAGCCCCATCCCCAAGCCTGTCAGGAGATGCTCCCCACAGCCACAAGGCGCTGTCAGTAATGAGTGTTTCTGCCCTTGAATGAATACAGCAGGAGCACTTGATGCAAGTCTTCCTGCAGCTCTGTTGAGTGTTTACTTCTCCTGCTTCTCAGTTTCCCTTGGGACTACAAAAGGGAAGGTGTCATCATTCTCACTTTTAAGAGTGAGAACCTCCCATTTCCGATGGAGATCATTTCATGGAGTGAATGAGCTGGTGATTAACACACAACTGTGCTCTCTTAGGTCTCCCTCCTCACACAGGGTCATCTGAGGCTCCCAAAGCTCTGTGAGATCTGTAAGTGCTGCTCAGAACACCCAGTCACCACTGGGGAATGCGAGTGTCAGGGCTGGGGATTCAATCTGTTCTTCCTCCTCACCAGAGGAACAGAAGGTGAATACATGAAGGAAGATTAAATCTCCTGTCAATATAAAGAATTCCAGCAGTGGGAAATCGGATCCTCCCTCAGACTTACTTTGTGTTTGTGGAATTAAGCTTCCCACTGAAACAGGGGAAGTTCAGCTTGGATATAAAGAAGTAGTTCTTTACTATGAGGGTGCTGAGGCACTGGCACAGGGTGTCCAGAGAAGCTGTGGCTGCCCCATCCCTGGCAGTGTTGGATGGGGCTTGGGGCAACCCGCTCTAGTGTGAGGCATCCCATTCTTCTTTCCACTGCACCCACTGCACCCAGCCCCGACGCCCCATCCTTACCAACATCCATCCATTCCGGAGGAATCACCCGGCACTTCTGCCTCTGCTTCAGGTTGATGGCGAGCCAGACAGGCACTTCCACTGGCAAGCCGGGATTGAAAGGGCCCAGATCTCCCTGGAAGATGAACCAAAGACAACGGTAAAGGCTCGGACACGGCAGAACTCACCTGATAACGCGGCCTTGGGCACGACTACCCTCGACACACAGCCCCTGGGCTCAGGCTGAGCACCCAGTGCCAGAGCTCAGCACCCAACGATGCCAGTGACCCCCCAACGCACAGGGGCTGCTGCCCCCCACCAGAAACATGGGCACAGCGCATCATCCCTATCCTCCTTCTTTCTGCCCTTCATCCCAACCCTCGATCCCTCCATCCCATCACAGCAGACCCCCAACCCCTCTCCCTGCTCCTAAACACCCCAAATCCTGTCCCCAGCCTCCTGCCCCTCAATCCCAACCCCCCAAACCCGACCCCACACCTAATCCCTGTCCATCAGCGCCCCAAACCTGCCCCAAGCTCCCCCCCCCATGCCCGACCCCCAAGTCCTGTCCTCAAGCTCCTCAGTCCCCAATACCCCCCCCCCCAACCAGCCCCATGGCCGTGTCTCCAGCCCCACAGCCCCTACCCGCGGCCCCACAGACCCCAATGAGATGGATCCGGTCAAGGCTGAAGTTGGGCACGATCGTAACCAGCTCCTTCTCGGCCAGGAACTCCACCTCGGCCGGCTCCATGGAGGCGGCAGCGGGGATGGGGACCGGGATCGGGATCGGAACCGAACCGGCGTTGGGACCAGGACCTGACCGTCTTACGCGCCCGCCCTCCCTATTGGCTGCGCGCCGGTGAGGCCCCGCCCACAAAACGCCGTTTCCCGCCGCCCGACGCTTTTCGCGGTTTTAGCGTAGGGGCGGAGCCTGGCGGAGCTCGGAGCACGCTGATTGGCCTCCCCCAGACGGCAGTTGTCCGGCGATTGGTTAACACAGAGACCGTGTGTGCCCTCGCTCCGAGCTCCAACCCCGCGGGGGGAGCGCTGGGTCGGTCGCAGATGGACCAATCCCGGTGCCCCCCGGGTGGCGCTCGGCCAATCAGCGCTCAGCACTTGTTGCCAGAGCGCTTCGGGGCCTGCGGAGGCCCTGCCCTCATCCTCTGAGAGTGTGCGCGGCTCCCGCCACTGCCGCCCCCTGGCGGCCGGGAGGAGCAGCGCCCCGCGGGGACACGCATGGGGCCGATTACCGGGGTGTACGGGGATGGGGGTGTGTGTGTGTCCTCCTGCGCACCCACCAGCCTCCACCAGACCCGGTGTCCCTGTGCAGACACCCTCCATTCATCAGCCCACCCACCCCTCCATGCCCACCTCCATCCATCCATCCATGCACCCACCCCTTCAGTCCCCCATCCACGCCATCATCCATCCATCCATGCCTCCATTCCTTCCTCTCCCTCCCTCCCATCCATCCATCCATCCATCCATCCATCCATCCATCCATCCATCCATCCATCCCTTAGAAGAGCAATTAGCCCTCTTCATGCTCTCTGTCCGTCCCTCATTCCCTTCCTCCACTCATCCTTCCCCCCTATTCCTCCATCCCTCCCTCCCTCCATTCAACCATCCATCCACCCCCCCCTCCATCCCTTCACCCATTCCTCCCCCCCCATCATTCCCTCCATCCATCCATCCCCTCCTCCCTCCCTCCATCTGCCCTGCAGGTCGCCATGGAAACCGAACACGCCCCCCCCCCAAATGCTGCCAGCTCCCCCCAATCCCCCTCCCCAGCTGCCTTTAGGCTCAGCCTTAGGACACCCATGGGCCCAACCGAGCCCTTGGGGTGAGGATCACGCCAGGGGTACCCGCAGGCTGGGCTATGGGGCTAAACCTCGGTGCTGCCCCACACCGGGGGCTGCAGGAAGGGCTTTTGGGGGGGGGGGGGGTTTGTCCCTCCGCCCCCCGTTAACGGAGCAGCCCCCGCGGCGCCGCAGCTCCACCGGGCGCGCTGTAACCGGCTCCACTCGCGTGTCTTTTGCCATCTGCTGCTGTCATTAAAGAACGAGATTTCCATCTGCTTTCACACTCCCGCCTCTCTCCCGGTGCCGCCGCTCCCCGGGAACCAGCGCCCCCGGCTCCTTGCCGGGATGCGGCCGATGCTGCGGGACCACCGGGGCGGGATGCGGGTGATGTCCGAGCTCATTTGCAACCGGTTCCTTCGACCCACTTGGGCAACGGTGGTGGAGGGGGGGGGGGGAAATCCCTTTGTGCTGCCCGGCAGCACGGGGTGATGCTGACAAGGGGTGGATTTGGGGGTGTGGAGCCTCGGGGGCTTTATTCACCAGGGGGGGCCCGAACGGTGCCACCCCCTTCCCTGTGCTTTTAAAAGAGACAAACCCCAGTCACCGGTGTCCAAACTCACCCATGCGATGGGCGCCCCGTGTGTCCCTAAGGAGCTGGCCCTGGACAACGCGCATCCCCGTGGAGAGGGGATGGTATCCCCAGGATGCCCATGGTCAGCACTGGCTGCACGATGGTGCCCCCCCGCCCCGCCGTGCCTCTCGGGCCAGCATGGTCCCCGTCGGTGTTGGTGGCGTGACGATGATGGAGGGCACATGCAAGTGCTTCTCTCCTGGGGATGCTGCTCCTGCCTGGTCGCTGCCATTCCCGCTGCTCACACACATCTTCAAGCCTGAAGGGGCAACCAAGGGGGAAAATCAGGTGTAGGGGATGCAGTTCCCTCACCTCCCTCCCTATCTCCATGGGCTCAACCCCCTTACGAGCCACTAGAGAACCCACCACCAGCATCCAGGTTCTGCCTCGCACCTCCTGGTTTTGGGGTGCCCCATAGAGGTGAATACAACAGCCAGCCCCCACCCTCATCTCCTGCCCCTGGGTAAAGGATCACTTTAATCTGCCTTTTTAATCATGAGAAAAGCCCCGTGCGGTGCAGGCAGCGGCCGGGGAGGTTTCAGCTCTTCCCAAGCAGGAAAATGCCCGGAGGGGACAGACACTGATATTTTAAATCTCTTTTTAATTAAGGATAAAGCCCTGCCTTACATAAGGCAGCTGGAGAAGGGGGGAGTCTTGTCTCTTACTGCAGACTCCAAGCTCATCAGAGGGACCTGGAGGCACAGGGGGATGTTTTGAGGCTCTGGCCTGGATTTGGGGATTTGGACAGGGACTCTCTGTACGCCTCGGTTTTCCCTCTTCAGTCACCTCATATTGGCCTGAGGGAGGGTCTGTGGGACCCCCAAATCCCTTAACCACAAGTGGCAGCATCCTCAGCGCAGGGGGAGTGTGTATGGGTGCAGAGATCGGTTTTGGGCGGTGCATCCCATCACAGCCGGCATCACACATGGGGTTTGAGCTTGGGAAGAAGCAGCTCTGTTCCTTAGAGAAGGATGCTCATTAGCTCCCATCCCTAACCACCCAAAGGATGATTAATACGAGCTGCTCAGGGGTCAGCGCTGGGATGCAGCGCTAATGGGAGATACAATATCCAGCCTTTACCCTGCTCACCCAGCGCAGCGAGGCCAGGAGCATTAAAAGCTCCCACTTCCCTCTCTCTGCAGACATTGCTTCTGCTATCCCCAGCCTAACTCCATTAAGAGAATTAAAGTTAGGGGGAAAGCAGATGGGTAGAAAGCTCCTGGGATGGAATATCCCTGGGGAGAGCGGAGCAATGAAGGATGCTCCAGGCTGACCTTGAGCATCGCATCCATACCCAGAGCATCCTATCCATGCTGGCTTTTTCCCACCTCTAGGGAAACCCATTATGGGATGCCATCAGCCCAAGGATGCTCCAGGGTAAAGGATGCAGGATGGAGCACAGGACCATATTGTTATAGTGCTGGGATAGCGGATGGGGACATTGGGGTGATGCCTGAGCATCATGTCACCCATGGAACTCCTTAAATGCCACCAGCACACTAAAACACACCAGTCCTGCCCACTTAAAGCTCCTCCATGTATAACCATCCCCAGATACCTTCATGGAGCAGGAGGGACCCCAGCACCTTCCTAAACCTACCTTTGAGGCAGGATAACTTGAGCCCCATGTTTTCATCCTCTCAGCAGGACCCAGCTCTCCAGCCCCGCTGCCGGTCCTCGCTGCTGGAGCTGCAAGAGAGATACGGGAAGTGATGCTGGGAGGAAGGAGTGAACCCAGTTGCTCACTAGAAGCACGCACCTATGTGTGTGTATGTATGTGTATGCATCTATAGGCGCCTGGGCAGAACAGGAAGCATGGGTGCATGGCAGCAAAACCACCAGTGATATCATAGCGACTCGGTGACTCAATCTCAGCCACTGAGTTTTGGGAGGAACTCTTTGGGAGCGCAGAGAAGGAGCCTGCTTCCAGGGAGGGGGGATCCCATCCGGTCCCATCCTGGCCTTTCCGCTCCTGGGAACAACGCTGCAAACATCTGCAGGTGAGAAGGTGGTGAATGAAGGAATCAGGTTGTTATTTGTGAAGGCAGCTGGTGCAGAGGATGCTGGTCTGTGGCATTGCATCCCCTGGGGCCGAGCCGGAGCAATGGGCACCAACTGGGGATACACTGACAAAGAAAGCTCCATCCTGCTCTATCTGGGCATCGCTGATGCTCCAAGAGCTTTCAAGTAGGTAATTCCCATTGTGGGACATCACTTTCAGATGCTGAAACCCATTCTGAGCAAAAACTCCTTTAACGGGAAATCTTCATCCTCCTGCCCACAGCTGCTGGGAAAAGCTCCTTGGGATGAGGGTCAGCCACCCATTTTGGCTCTTCCAAGCCTTGTGGCCCGCATAGAGCCAAGCAAACCCTCTGCTCCCCCTGCCCAACCTACACTGCAGCTTCACTTCACCTTTCCAAGCAGCCTGAGGTGGCCTGGCCACAGCCAGCAAGAGGAAGTGGGAGCTTGCCATTGCTGGGCTTAATTCTGCTTCCTTTACAGCTCCCCACAATCACACTGAGCCTTGGCACCCCTTTGGCCAAGGAGCTGTGCCACGGCTGGGGGTAGACCCCCCCATGGGTCTCCCACTTTGCAACTATAGCCCAAGTATCAATAAACCTGTTTTGAGGTGAATTCTCTAGGGTTTGGCACTACCAAAACCAGCCATCCCCATCCGCTCAGGGTTGGAGGATTGTGCTGGGGAGACCCAGCCCCATGGCACAGGGGGTCTCCTCTTGAATCAGCCCTTGCATGACAAAGCAGCCCCTTCCCCATGCCACTGGCTCTTAGCCCTGCATCCGCACCACGGCACTGGGGGAGATGCTTGGATAGAGAAACCCACCCCGCCAGCATTCCAGCAGGATTGCTGGTGGCTGATGGCTTCAGCGTCGCTCCCGTGTCGGCATCAGGCCAAGGAGTATTTGCTTTCCCGATGAGTTCACGCTCCAAAAACCCCCAGACACTCGTCACAAGCATCACTGAGTGGTGGCCGCGCTGCTCAGGCATGGATGCGGGATCCTCACCCAACATGTGGGGTTAGGGATGCGCCGGGAAGAGGAGCGGGACCAAAACCAGCCATGGTGTTCCGAGGGGATGACACTTACCCGGTCCTGGGAGTTGGAAGCACGATGCCCACCGTTGCATCCCACCTCCCACAGCATCCAGCTGCTCTGGGATGGAGGAGCGTGAGGCTGGGTGGGGGATTCCCACTCAGGACCAGTGAGGCAGGAGCAGGTTGCAGCGAGACAGCTTGGGGATGTTGTAAGGTTGGTTTCTAACCTGGTTAATCAGGTTAGCAGAGCCCTGGCTCCTCCCATTCATCCCCTGCTCCAGCCCCATCCAAGCCCAGCAAAGCCCTTGGGTGATGAGGAAACGCTGCTTTACTCTCGCCCCGCTGCACAATCCAGTCTGGTGCCAAGAGAAAGAGGAGCAGGAGTGCCCCTTGCCTGCAGCTGAGCTGCCTGGCCCACTGAGCATCCCTACAAACAATCAGAGGGGCAACTAAGTGCTTAGAAAGGCAAGTGCCAGTTTGGTGCAAGGGTGCCCAGCTGTGGCATCCCTGAGATCCTAATGTTAAGGGAGGAGTGATGCTGCAGCCTCCGGGAGCATCCTCACCTCCTTCTGCTTCCAGAAAGTGCCTGTCCCCCTTCTTGTCCAACCTGCCATGGCCAAAACCATCCCAGCAGTGGGACCAGCATCAGGGCTTCTTCTCAAGGGGTTGGGTACCACCCCGCTGCGAGGATGCCCGGGCAAAGGCTCTGCCTCCGGAGCAGCCGCCTTTGCCTGCACTAAAAGGAGCCAGAGGCTTTTTCATGTTCACCTCCTCCGCAATTAAGAGGCGAGGCCCCGAGACGGCTCCTTTTCAGACAGAGCTGAAAAGCAGCGGTTCACATCCAGGGCGCCGGCGTGCGGGGAATGCCAGCGCGCATTAAACACCCAGAGCCTGAGGGCACAGGAACCGAGGGAAAAGCTTTGAACTTCACCCGGAGATCGGAGCAAACTGATCCCAGGAGCTTGGGAGGTCTCCGGCGAGATCAGAGCATCATGGATGAGAACAAGCCCTGGTGGGATGGGCATAGAGGGGAGCAGGGAGGGGAAGCGGGTGGTTTTGCTCCAGTTTCTGCTGGTCTGGTCCTGTTATGTTCAGTGGAAAGCACACAGAGGGAAAGGGCTGATTTCCTTCCTGGTCTGGCTCCTCTGATTCACCAAGTGACTGAGTATTGCAAAGCTTCAGCGTGGAGAGCTGGGCAAACAGCACAGGGGAGAGGCTGCAGCCCCAGGTCCTAGATGCAGAGATGCTTGCCACCTGAGGGTCCAGTTTTGCCCCAGAAAACTGACAAAATCGGTTCAAGTGTTGCTTTGTTTTGCCTCTTTGCAAAGAGCTAAAGGACAAAGTCTGAGACAGAGCCTGGCAAGCCTGGTCTTCCCAGATCCCATCCCAACAGCATGCAGCATCCCACGGGGCCAGGGTCCCCCTCACCAACAGCACAAATCCAGTCTGAGCAGCAGAAATCCCCCCTCCACATGAGCTATTTCGATGCTTCTCTCCAAAACAACCTGTTTACTGCTTTTGGGTGAGAACAAAAGGCTCCAAAACACAGGAGGGCTGGAATTAGCCTGACCTGGAGGAGCAGTTGTTGCTGAAACCATTAGCAACCAAAAGCGATGTCTTACTGCAGCAGGGGAGGTAAACACAAACATCAGCCTGCTAAAATAACTGTGGTTAGCTCTGCGGGCTGGAACACAGTGTGGTGACACTGATAGGCACACACACAGCATCACACACCCCTTCCTGTCCTCCCCATGGGGTGGGAAGGGAAGACACCCTTGGGCAGGTTCATAGCATGAGGTTTGGACACCTCAAGGTGACAAGTTATGGCCCAGGGCCCCTCCACTGTGGAGCCCTGTTTGCTAGCAATTGACCAGCACCAGTCAGAGCTGAGCTCCAAGCACAGGCGCAGCACAATGGGTCAGACATCTCCTTTCTATGGGTGCAGCCCTGCCTCTGATTTACATCCTTACCAGGAGGCGATTCCTGAACATCACTGGCCAAACACCACCAAGAGCCAGCTGGCCACAGGGAGGAAGAGGATGGGTTCATAAAGCTTCCTGGGAGGGTCAGTATGGAGTCACCTTCACTCTGGGCAAGGCTTCTCCCTCCAGCCCTGCACTGTCCTTTGGTGACTGGTTCCCAGAGTCAGTGCTTCCCAGTCCACCAGCCCCTTCCTGCCCTGGTGTACGAGGCTGAAGCAGTGGTGGTGGGGTGAGGATGGAGGGCAGCTCGTGACTTCATTGGAAGAGGAAGGGTGAGCTCACGGCTTCCCAGACGCCAGCAGAACCACAGGGAGAGGGATGTGTTTTGCAAACACTGGCCACAAGACAAGCTTTGGCTGGAGAGCACCGGAGCTGATCTGTTGGCTGCCTCCAAAGGAGCTGCTCCTGCACACACCAGCTGGGCTTGTGTTAGAAAGGAGGGAGGGGAAGCAGCTTTCTGGGTCACAGAGTCCCAGGGTCTGCTCACGCAGGTGACACATCAGCCTGGCTGCGTGCTAACAGCACAATGAGGCCACTGCTCCTCACTTCTGCACTGGGTGTTTTCCAGTCCCATCCCAGCTTAGAAATCACCCTGAAAAGGGGGCTGCAGGGCCACTGATAGGCCTTGTGAAAACCAGAGGTGACAACAAGGCAGTGGGTGCTGGGAGAGGCAAAGGAACTCCCTCCCATCCCTGCATGGAGCCCCACTGCCATCCAGGACAGGCAAGTGGTACCCGGAGGGGCTGCCAGGCGTGGGAAGAGAGGAGGATGTCACGAGGAAGCAGCTGAAGATGCAGGCTGTGGGGAAACTGGAGCGGCTCCAGCATTTCCCAAGCACAGGCTCTTGGCAGGACTGGGAGAGCGAAAACCAGCAGGAACTGTGCTGGAAAACACCCCCAAAGAGAATCCATCAGGCTGTGTCAGCAGCCCCACGAGCGAGGCAGGAGCTGCTGTGGCAGAGAGTAGGAAGCGAAGCGGGAAGCGATCACATACCTGAAGCACAAAACCAGAGCGTGCCGGGCTCTCCTGCCAGACCTGCATCCAGAGAAAACCACCTCCCTGCCGGGCATGGATCTGGGAGGCTGTGGCTGGGAATTGGCTTAGGGACCTGGCCGTGGCTGCTGTGCTTCTCAGCTCACTGAGCTCCAGGTTAATCTCAGCCCAGCTTTCCCTTTTTATCCCCTGGTACAACCCCGGTACAGTTTTTCAATTAGGTGCATCTTTTAAGCTCCAGAGCGCATTTCTAGGAAGGGATGCGCTGTTTCTCTTGGCCCTCGTGGGCTGATGCTGCGCAGAGCGGGACATGCCTGGCACCGATCCTGCCCGCATCCAGCTAAAGTGCCGCCACGCTGCAGCCGGTGCGGCGCTGCCTGGAAGCACTCACGCAGCTACCCGTTACCCCCAGCCCACCTACCGGGTGTTCTTAAGAGCAGCATTCCCTGTCTCCCTCAGCATGGCTCCAGCAGGCTGCCTGGATCACGGACTGCTTTCACCGGTCCTGCTATTGGACCAGCAAACTGACTCCGTCCTCTCTGGATCCGTGTCTGCTGCCCAGCTGAAACCCAAAGGGATATACGCAGCCAGGGTGCACTTTGGGATGAGGAGGCTGGGTGAAAATGTGGTCTAAAAGCGACAGGAAGAAGGAGAATAGATCGATCAAGACTTCAGCAGATACTTGGGCTCAGTGAGGTCGCTTCCTGATGCAGGAGAACTGGTTGCAGGGTGATTGGTGAAGCAAAAGAGGAGTTTGCAGTGCAGAAGTGTGATGTGTGGAAATGTTTAACTCAAGAGACTGGGATGGATGGGAAGGAAGCAGCTTGCCCAGCCTGGTCAGCTCAACACAGCCCAGCTCCTACCGGACACTGGAGACAGAGCTCTGCTCCAGGAGCTGAATTAAAACACAATGGAGAAGCAGAGCTCACAAATGCACGCTGAGCACATTTCCCCTTGAGGCCAGTTTCCAAGCTGCAGTCAACCGCAAGTCCACCCCATTAACAGCCTCCTCCATTAGCATTCACGTGCTCTTTCCTATCAGCAATGCCCTCCACCGAGGAGCATCTCGAGACGTTTTACAAATAGCAGCAGCACTGGAGTGCAGCGATTAGGCCTTGAGCCAGGGAGCAGAGAGACCTGGGATTACTTCCTGCATCTGTCACTGTCACCTCTCCACCACTTCAGTGAGGAATTCTTGGGGGCAGGGGGCTGTCTCGCAGGGCACATCACAGTGCTGGAGATGGGCTCTGCACATCTGTCTGCCCCCTGCTCCAGCTGTGCTGGGTGAAGAGGTGGTGGCTCCTTCATCCTGCTCGTCTGCTTCCCACACCCACACAGAATCATAGAATGGTTTGGGTTGGAAAGGACCTTAATATCATCCAGTTCCATCCTCCCATGAGCTCTAACGAGCTGGAGGAGGTTAAGTGGTAGGTCTTTGCTTGTTTCACACTGACACAGACTAGGGAACATCCTGTGAACAGCTCAGCTGGCAGATGGGAGGGACAAGGGAGGAAAACCCCAGCAGCACACTGCTTCGCTTCCTGAATGCAGGAAAAACCCCCTAAAATCCTCATACATGCACGCATCAATGAGCTCAGAGAGAAAATTATACCAGTGCATTCCCTGGGAACAGGTACCTTGCTTGTGAGCACCCCTAAGAACATCAGAGCAGACACTCCTTGGCTCTTGCCACCCACCTGCTCCTCCCACTCAGGATGCTGCACAAGCCAGAAGGAGCAGAAACCACTTCCCCTGTGCATCTAGCCCGATTATAGAGTTGTCCCACTTCTTGGTGAAAACAACCCCTACAGCCCCCCCAAACTCTCTGCTCCCTTCTGTGTTTCTCAAGCTGGATGGGTATATGGAGTTTCTGGCACTGTTGGAAGTGCCACGGGTTACTTGTGGCTTGCTGGGTCTCAGGTCATTCTGGTCCTCGATTTCAAACAGAATGGATGTTTGAGCAATGTAAACTCAAGGCTCTTTGTTCTCCCCCTCGTGACTAAAGGATTCAAGGCAAGCACTCACGTGGGTCCAGCAAAGAGTAGTGTGCCCTCCCACTCAAACCCAAGCACTTTGAACTGGTATTTTCAGATACTTGTGGGGTCTCTTTATCACTGTTTTGAAATATTAGGGTTGAGAGTGGAAAGAAAAGAATCCCACATTTTGCATTTCCAAGTGCTTAAAGTGCTGCGGATGAGGTAAAATGCTGGGATTTAAATGTCTGGGCAGGCAAATGCCAAATTTCAAAATCTTGGTGAATAAGGGGGAAAAAAATAATTAATGCTTCATGTCGTTAACTGCTAACAAATAAAAAAAGAGTATGACACCCGTTCCCTGTGCTGTCTTCCCACGTATCACAAGGGCTCCAGCAATGGAGATACAGATGCCTGCCCCAAGATTTCTTCCCCCCCCCCGAAGGTTTAAAGGGAGTTACCTTGAGCTCTGATGAATCCAATTGATCGGGCGGCCAGGAAACCAGCATTTGCTCCTGCAGGTAGGTTTGGTACATCAGCAGGAAAGGGGAACACAGCCTGCAGCTTCCTCATTCTTTCACAAGAGCCATGGTGGCTGCGGGCTGCCTGGCTTTATGAAACTGCTGCCTTTTGTCCTCCCTTCAATGCAAATAGGACAGGTGAGATAAGATCTGAGCATTGCAGAGCTTGTCCTTTTTCCTTAAAGCCAGCCAGGGCTTCTACTGGTGGCAAAACACTCAAAGGACCTCATTGAAAAGCAAGCAGAAGATAAAGAAAGGGAAAAGACAAAGCACTGAAAACTGCTCCTCTTCCAGAAACGTGTCTCATTGTTAGTCACGGGGAGTGTTTCCATCAGGTTACACAGTGATGATATACATTTTGGGGGAGAATGGCAAGATTTAAACTGTATTAGCATATATATGATCAAAGACAGAATACGACATGGAGTTACAAAGAAATACATTTCCTGTGGCTCAGGAGACATAACAGGTTATATAGCAGTGCTGACTGAAAATCTCCCATAACTAACGTACTGCATCTCCCTAAGATAACATCTGCCTCTGGAACAATAGGTTAGATTTCAGGAGGTGTTTGTACAAAGTAAGCCAACAGTCCTCTGCCTGCAGAGCCAGAGCCAAACATACATTTCAGAGCATTCTTGTTCCCAGGGTATCTTTTCATACAGCCATGGATGTGCAGTGAAAACAGCCACTGGAACGTGTTTATCTCACTGCTTGTGAACTAGATACATGTTCTTGTTCAACAGGTGAAAACATTTTCCCTTCCCACAACCGTATCTGACTTATGGTTAGGAAAAGCTGTTGACTAACTGCCAATCCCTTTTGTTAACACACCTTAGGGAGACAAACCCAACTGTTCAACTTTTCACTTCCTCCCTGGATATGGAGCTGAACCTCACATCTCATCTCCCAGTTTTATGGAATCAGAACTGCAGGGAACACCACAGCAGGACCTAGATGGAAGCATCCTGATTCTATTCACTGCTTCAGAACAGGACTTTAGCTTTACACCTTATCTCTCACTATGACCAAGAGTAAAACTTGTGCTTATTTAAGTAGAAGCAGAAGTAGGTTTTGACAATCTCACCCCTCACGTTTCAAAATCAGAACACTAAGGAAAACACAGGAACTTGGAGAGAGGTGGATCATTTGGATCTTCCACTTTTGGGTAGGAAGATAAGGAAACCCAGAAAAATTGATGCAGGCTGAGCTTATGTTTAACTAGTCTGACAAACAACGATGAAGAGTAAGGCAACAAGAACTGTGCCAGTCTTACATAAAGCTTCATTAAACTTTTTCGTATAAAACAAGCATTAATTGGAGAGACAGACAGAAGCTAAACAAGACTGTATCTAGGCTCCTTAATTCGATGTATTTAGATCACTTGCCTTCAACTTGGAGGGACGCAATTTAGACCTACTTAAATGGACAACAAATGAACCAGCTGAAAATGAGATCTGCTTATAAACCCCAACAAGACTGCATACAATTAATAAGGTATTTCACTCTTCTTTTGCAGATTCGAACTGGTTCAGAACTCATTAGTGCACTTCCAGTCCTTTTTACGCATCACTAGGTGAACAGTTGGTTTCTACCTTAGGTTTAACATATTCAAGCAGTATCTGTGGCTGTATGCCCACAGAGAGCAGGAATCACCATAGTGTTTGGGAATGCTGCTTTAACACATTCTTGGTAGTAGCTGTGTCACGCTAAACCACCTCAAAAGTTAAGACATGAGTATGGTATGTTGTCCTCAGCAGTCTCCATTTTACTGTGTCAAAAAGAACTACGTTCCCAACTGTTAACCTTACATAATTGACCCTAAATTTTCCCTTCTGAGGACAGGACTAATTTTCCTTGGAAGGTATTTCTATAAATCATTGAAAAGTAACCTCTACAGATTAGAAAAGCTTAGTCAAAACTCTGTATTATGAACAGTAGGGACAAGCAGTAGTAGTTTTGGTTTTGAAGGAATAGCAACATTCACTACAACTGGGAAGGCATCCATAAGGACAGCAGTAACTGACAGTTTGCAGTTCTTCAAGGAATCTTGCAAAAAGGATTCAACAGCTTACGGACACATCACCCTGCAACGTGACATGCCACTGCTTTTTAATCAGGTTTCCACACAAGGTACTGAGTATTATTCTATTTACATTTAAAAATAGCATTTTTCTCTCTTCAGTACAGAGTGGGAACGCCTGTAAGTTAAGTCAGTAGAAACCCCTCTAGCACAGGTGGAGGACAGCTTTGTTGATCTCTGGGTTTGTCCAGTCGTTCCGGATATCATCCAGGTGATTATCGAAATCTACCAGTGTCTCGTATGACTTGCTGTCCAAGAGAGATGCAGCGATTCTCTGGGCTTCGGTCCAATCTTCACAAAAATCACTAGGATGTAAAATAATCAGGAATAAATAGTAATCACCAGGGAAATCTCCACTCTGGAAATTAAGCCACGCTCTCTGCAGTGCGGTCATGGTGGTCATTCTGCCTGGCTGCAGAAGCCAGTTCTCTGTCGCTACAGCAAAAACAGCTTTAAAAATCATTGTCAGCTACACCCACCGCCCTTACAATGTCTCTCAGCTACAATCAATGTTTTGCACTTAACTGGGCAACCTGTTCTTCCTTACTACCCAAACACAAATAAACTCTGAAGTTTACTCACACATGCGGGTCTTTGCACCTCCACTTGTTCTCATGAAGCTCATACACATGAATGGCGGGTTCTACACACTCCATCGTAAACTTGGTGTTATCGACCTGTTGCGCACAGTAAAACACCACTTTAGTCTCCTCCTCAAGATCTCAAGAGATGAAATAAAACCCAGTCACTTTTTACTAACAGAGCACCTTACACTAACCCATCCACTCTGCTGCCTTCAAATGAGCTGAATTTTACACTTAAACTGCCAACATCCTTTGTCACTGCAGCAAGGAGGCAAAGCACTCCGAGCCTTACATAGTTAAGCAAGAGTTTAAGTCACAGAAGGGGGTCCGAATTAATGAACACACTGTCTTCACTCTAGCCTTGCAAGCAGAGAAAGCCTCCACTTCCTTTTAGATGGCAGCAAGGTAACCATAGTTCCTTTGTAGACATACGAAGAACTGCACTGGCTACAGGTCACTGCATCTCCTCCCCAGAGCATTTGGAAGAAAGAGAAAATTAGTTACTTCACTATTAAAGGACTCAGCGACTAGTGTTTAAATGGTTAGTCCAACACCACAGTCATAACATTAACCATACAGAAAGAGGTGGGAGGGAATGAAATAATTTACCATTATGAGTGCTGTATCATTAAAGCCCTCTGCAATTCTGGAGGCCACCTTTTCTGCAACCTGGTTTGGGCTGCAACAGAAGGTAGAATCAACTGTGTTAGGTGAAGCAAGACATTTCAGCTGAAACCAGCAGGAAATATGCTTTAAAAGATGTGAAAATTACACTGTGTGCTTACAAACAGGAACCAGATATTAAGCTAATGCTACACTTGAGTGAAGTCAGAAAGCCAAGACAGCCCCAGCTCCCCTCTTCAGCACCTGATCTGGATCTCAGCTACACTTAGGCAATGGGGTTTGGAATGGCAAAATGCTCACTGAATCAATGTTTTGTGGCCCCCTACTTTCTTCCACCAGACCAAAGACTGCAGCCACCTTTCTTCAGGCAGGTATTTAAAAAAGAAACCAAGTTTGCTACCCAGTCTGCATTTGAACCCACACGCTGCCCAGCTTCTCCACCAAAATCAGATAATCTTTTAAAGAAAAACCTTTATCGTGTTTCAAAGACTGTCAAACTCTGTGTGGTGCCAGTTATCTTCAGAAATGAAATCAGAATTCAAGGAAAACCCCACCAAGCCTGTGATATTCTTTCAAACCTCAAATAGAACAGACAAACTGTATCTTCTCCTTAAAAATGTCCCTAGCATAATTATTTCCCTTGTAAGGAAAGGATAAATAATGCTCTTATCCCTGTTAGACACCTTAGCAGTCACAAGGATTACTTAAATAACATACTTGAGACTGAAGGATATACATTAACAACACAGCATAATACCTTAAACAAGCTCTTCATATTTATTTTAAATGCAAGTGTGATGTGCTCTCATTAGTCCTGAAACTGGATTTGTCTAATAGATAAGAGGAGAAAATATTTGACATACATATCCAAAACTGTTGTGGCTCCACAGAAAGGCCCCTTTATTGCTTATTGAGTAATCTGCATTAGCTAGAAGGGGATAAAAAATGAATAATTGTGGGGAAAATAAGTGAAAAGAGATACTGCTGCGTGACTGACATCACCTTCCATTTTGAGAGCGTCCTGTCACCACGTAAGAAAATGCTTCAATAAAACTTGGAGACTATTAGTTTAGCAAGAATTAGGTCACTTCTGAAAGACTTTCAAAGATACTTGGAGTCATTCGAGTCTACAAGATCTGTACCGAACAAGCAAACATGCCTGCAAAATTTGGCTATTTCCCTGACAACTGCAATTAAACTGGCTGGCAGTCATTCAAAGACTGGCCTTTTTTAGTATCCACTGAAGAGGAGTGGTTCTGGAAAGACTGGGGTTTCTGCACCTGAACAAAGGCCATACCCACCAGGCTCCAAGAAGACAATGTGAAAGCAGATGACAGTTGTCAAAGTTAATCAACACGCATGATTTATGTCGATGATTTTTGCTGGCAGAGTACAAAGTACAACATAAAAGAGCAAACAGAAGGAAATATTGCACCAACACACCTGGCATCTTTCACGCGTTCGTTTGCCTGGTAATATCCAGCTATCACGTAGCTATTCTCTTTGCACCAAGAGTCAATCTGAAAAAGTAATTGGAACAAGTAAGACCAGGAAAAATAAAGAAGAAACCCCTCACAGAACTAAGGAAATCTCATCTTTGCCCTGCAAATGGAATAGTAATTGAAGCATTAGGGTATCTTTGCCAATTGCTTCTTTAAATACATACATATTTATATATATTTATGTGTACACTCACACAGTTTGGCTAATTTAACTAGAACAGAGAAATCAAGCTGAACATTTAAGAGAATTGTGGAAAACACTAACCAAATGGAACAAAAGAGCAAGAAGTTATTTCAGTCAAAGCCTGGCCTAAATTTTAATGACAGGACTATCAACTTCTGCAATGCTGCCT